GGAATTAACAACTGGTTATTAATATTTCTTAATATCAATGGCATTAACTCCCCAATAAAAAGACCCATGTTAACAGAATGTATCCAAAAACAGGACCCATCTTTCTGCTTCATACAAGAAACACACCTCAGCAATAAAAACAGACATTACCTCAGAGTAAAGAGCTGGAAAAAGGTTTTCCAAGCATATGGACCCAAGAAGTAAGTTGGAGTAGCTATTCCAGATTCTAGTAAAATAGACTTTCAACCAAAATTAATCAAAAGAGATGGGGAAAGACACTTCAGAATCATCAAAGAAAAAATCCACCAACATCTCAATTCGGAACATCTATGCCCCAAATCCAGGGCACCCTCATTCATTAAAGAAACATTACTAAGGCTTAAATCACACATTGAAGCACACATATAAATAGTGAGACTCTTTGACATCCATTCTTTAAAATGGACAGATTAAGACAGAAACTAAATGGGGAAATAAAGAAACCAGCAGACGTCATGAATCAAATGGACCTAACAGATATCTACAGAACATTTTACCCAAAAACAAGAGAATATACCTTCTTCTCACCACCTCACAGAACTGTCTCCAAAATTGAACATATACTTTATCACAAAGCAAGCCTCAAAAGATATAAGAAAATTGAAATAAGCCCCTAAATCTTATCAGACCACCATGGCTTAAAGCTAGAACTCAACAACAACAGAAAGCCTACAAGCTCTTGGAAATTGAACAACTCCCTACTCAGTGACAACTGGTAAGGGAAGAAATAAAGAAAGACATTAAAGACTTTCTAGTATTCAATGAAAATGAAGGCACAATATACCCAAACTTATGGGACACAATGAAAGCAGTGCTAAGAGGAAATTTCATAGCACTAAGAACCTACCTAAAATAATTAGAGAGATCTCATACGAGTAACTTAGCAGCACACCTGAAAGCTCTAGAACAGAAGGAAGCAAATACAAGAAAGAGGAGTAGATGACAAGAAATAATCAAACTCAGGGCTGAAATCAATAAATTGGAGACAAAAAGAATGATACAAAGAATCAACTAAACCAAGAGCTGGTTCTTTGAGAATATCAATGAGATACAGACCTTAGCCAAACTAACTAAACAGCAGAGGGAGAGGATCCAAATTAACAAAATCAGAAATGAAAAGGGGGACATAACAATGAGGAAATCCAAAAAAATCATTAAGTCTTACTTTAAAAGCCTGTATTCCACAAAATTGGAAAATCTAAAGGAAATGGACAACTTTCTTAGTAGATTTCACCTACCAAAGCTAAATCAAGATCAGGTAAACAGTTTAAATAGTCCAATAACCTCTAAGGAACTAGAAGCAGTCATCAAAAGTCTTCCAACAACAACAACAACAACAAAAAGCCCAGGTCCAGATAGTTTTAGCACAGAATTCTACTAGACGTTCAAAGAAGAGCTAATAACAATACTCCTCAAACTATTCCACAAAATAGAAACTGAAGGAACATTGCCAAACTCATTCTACAAAGCCACAGTCACCCTGATACCTAAACTACACAAAGATTCAACAAAGAAGGAAAATTTCAGACCAGTTTCACTCATGAACATCAATGCAAAAATACTCTATAAAATACTTGCAAACTGAATCCAAGAACACATCAAATACATCATCCAACATGATCAAGCAGGCTTCATCCCAGGAATGCAGGGATGGTTCAACATGTGAAAATCCATCAATATAATCTACCATATAAACGACCTCAAACCAAAAAAATGACATGATCATCTCATTAGATGCAGAAAAAAACCTTTGACAAAATCCAATACCCCTTCATAATGAAAGTCTTGGAGAAATCAGGGGTACAAGGCTCATACCTAAACATAATAAAGACATAATAAGCAAGCCGATTGCCAACATCAAATTAAATGGTAAGAAACTCAAAGCAATTCCACTAAAATCAGGGACAAGACAAGGCTTCCCACTCTCTCCATACCTTTTCAATATCATACTTGAAGTTCTAGCTAGAACAATAAAACAACTAAAGGAGATCAAGGGGATACAAATTGGGAAGGAAAAAGTCAAAGTATCGCTATTTGCAGATGATATGATAGTATATGAGAAAAACTTCATGTCTCTGAAGAAAGGAATTGAAGAAGCTATCAGGAGATGGAAAGATGTTCCATGCTCATGGATTGGTAGGATTAACATAGTAAAAATTGCCTTTGCCATCTCACCAAAGGCAATCTACAGATTCAATGTAATCCCCATCAAAATACCAACACAGTTCTTTACAGACCTTGAAAGAACAATTCTAAACTTCTTATGGAAAACACACACACAGAGAATAGCTAAAACAATCCTATACAATAAAAGAATATCTTGAGGTATCTTCATCCTTGACTTCAAGCTATACCACTGAGAAATAGTAATAAAAACTGCATGGTACGGGCATAGAAATAGACTGGTTGACAAACAGAATCAAATCAAAGACTCAGAAATAAACCACATACCTATGGTCACTTGATTTTTTTACAAAGGAGCCAAAACCATACAGCGGAAAAAAAGACAACATCTTCAACAAATGGTGCTGGTCTAACTACATGTAGAAAAACACAAATAGACCCATATTTATCTCCCAACACAAAACTCAAATCCCTGTGGATCAAAGACCTCAATATAACACCATATAAACTAACTCTATTGGAAGAGAAAGTGGGGAAAAGCCTTGAACTCATTGATACAGTAGACAACTGCCTAAGCAGAACACCAACAGCTCAGGTTCTAAGATTAAGTATTAATAAACGGGAGCTCTTGAAACCTCTTGCTGAGACTGAAGCACCAACCAAGAACCATGCACGAACTGGACCTAGAACTCCTACATGTTCATGGACTTTTCTGTGACATTCCTTGGACTGTCTGCTTACTGTGGCAATAATAATTTGCAGTTGAAGCTAAACCAAGCAAACCATGCCCCATTTTGTTAGTTGCCTCAGTTTGTGGTGCTATAGCCGATAGAGATATGTAATTTCCCTATACTAAGGTATCACGTGTGCTTTTGCACTTGGAAGAATTTCCTTTTAAAAGATATGAATAATAAAAGCCACACAAAACTATCAAATCCTAAAACATTAAATATAAATTAGAACTTGTAAATCGGCATTCTGCCTCACCAGGTTTTTCAATGCAACCAAGCAACAACAAAAACGCTATTTTTAATGAATTCTATTCTTTGCACAAGAAAAATACACCATCTGACTAATCCTCAGCGATACATAACTCTAAAATACTATGCACAATCATTTGCATGTGGCCCCTTAAAATTCAGTCACAGTTCCCCTTTTCATGGTATCAGACACCTATTTGAGGGAAAAAAGAAAATAAAGAAAATTCCAGACTAGAAAATACCCGAGGGCATATTTATACAGCATTGGAGAAAGAGCACTCAGTCAGGAAATAAACCGTGGCCAGCACTTGCCAGAATATTTTACTTTTCCAATCAAGTTGAAAAATGTTAAAAAGCTAGTGAAATAACCATCTTTCCAAAAATAAAGGTGAATCCAGCTTAATGACGATGCTTCTAACAATTTGTAGTGCATATGAATTACAGCTCATCACTGTCAGGAGATCCAATGAACGTTAGCTGCTGCTCAGTACTGTCAATAGTTGGATATTCTACCAGCTATAACACTCCTAGGCATATATCCAAAAGATGCTCAATTATACAAGGACATTTCCTCAACCATGTTCATAGCAGCTTTATTTGTAATAGCCTGAAGCTGGAAACAACCCAGATGTCCCTCAGTTGAGGAATGGATACAGAAATTGTGGTACATTTACACAATGGAATACTACTCATCAGTTAAAAACAAGGAAATCATGAAATTTGCAGCCAAATGGTAGGATCTAGAAAAGATCATCCTGAGTGAGGTATCCCAGAAGCACACACATTGTATATACTCACTTATAAGTGGACATTAGACATATAATATAGGATAATCATACTAAAATCTGTACACCTAAAGAAGCTAATCAAGAAGGAGGACCCTGGGTAAGATGCTCAATCTTCATTCAGAAAGGCAAACAGGATGGACATCAGAAGAGGGAGAAAATAGGGAAGGGGACAGGAGCCTATCACAGCGGGCCTCTGAAAGACTCTGCCCAGCAGGGTATCAAAAGATATGCTGAGGCTCATAGCCAAACTTTGGGCAGAGTACAGGGAATCTTATGAAAGAAGGGGGAGATAGAAAGACCTGGGCGGGGGGTGGGGGGAGAGACAGGAGCTCCACAAGGATAGCAACAGAAGCAAAAAATCTGGACACAGGGGTCTTTTCTGATACTGATACTCTAACCAAGGACCATGCATGGAGATAACCTAGAACCCCTGCACAGATGTAGCCCATGGCAGTTCAGTCTCCAAATGGGATCCTTAGTAAGTGGCTGTCTCTGACACGAACTCAGTGGCTGGCTCTTTGATCACCTCCACCTGAGTGGGGAGCAGCCTTACCAGTCCACAGAGGAAGATAATGCAGCCAGTTCTGATGAGACCTGATAGACTAGGGTCATATGGAAGGGGAGGAGGACATCCCCGATTATTGGACTGGGGGAGGGGCATAGGAAAAGAAGAGGGAGAAAGGGTAGGATTGGGAGGGGATGGGGGAGAGGGCTACAGCTGGGATACAAAGTGAATAAACTGTTATTAATAAAAATAAAATAAAATTTTAAAAAATAGTTGAGATTCTAAAAACTATCTAGACAGTTACATAGTTTCTAGTTTCAATGTAAATACTATCCTATCTCCTAGTAATTCAGTTTACCAAACTTAAAAACAAAAACAAAGACCTCCAGGCCAGACAGTGATGGTGTAAACCTTTTACCCCAGCAGTTAGGAGACAGAGGCAGTCAGATCTCTGTGAGTTCGAGGCCAGCCTGGTCTACAGAGTGAGTTCTAGGATGGCCAAAGCTACACAGAGGAACACTGTCTTGAAACGCAAAATCAAAAACAAAAAGCAAAACCTCTAACCTTCAGCTCTGTGGAAGCAGACGCTAACTTCCTGGCGTTGGCTAAGGCACGTAACTGTTGGTAGTCTGCTGGCTTATACCTGGAATTTCTCATCCCGTTTTTCATGTGGAATGTCAGGATATCTGTTTTTTTCACAAAAAGAGAAAAATGACAGAGAAATGATGCCACATCATTAAAAATCATAATTTAGGTAAGGGAAAATATTGAGGTTATATCATATTTTTATTTGGAAAAGCAAATAAAAGTTGGTCACAACATTCATGATATACCTAATACTTTGTGTCTAAAAGAACATGGCTGCTGCATTTCTTATACAACATTGTTTCCAAAGAGTACAGAAAGAGCAAGTCTGTGTGAGCTAGAACATGGCCAAGGCCAGAAATTATGATGCTATTCAATTTGCTTACATTTCAGACATTTTAAAAATGTGTTAGGCATCAACAGGAAATATTTAAGCATCACATCTCTATTAATCAAACTACACAGGAGATATTGAAGTCATCAATAAATTTCTAAGTCAAAAAGTTAAATTTGAAAAAAAAGTTTTTAAAATTAACACTAAATATGTAATCATTCAAATAAGATTCTAACTATGTAAAATATTCATATACTCTCCACCTAAAGACATACAATCTCTTAATTTAGTAGATTTACCTTGTTGATAAATCACAAAAAAAAGGTCTACTAAAGCCAAGGCATAAATCCCAATTACCTAGAAACAACACCCTTCACAATAGCCACAAAGGACTTAAAGTACCTTGGTGTAATTTTAACCAAGCAAGTCAAAGACTTGTATGAAAAAAAAAAAAAAAAATTCAAGTCTCTGAAGAAAGAAATTGAAGATCTCAGAAGATGGAAAGATCTCCCATGCTCATGACTCAGCAGGATTAACATAGTAAAAATGGCCATTTTACCAAAAGCAATCTACAGATTCAATGCAATTCCCATTAAATTACCTACACAGTTCTTAACAGAACTTAAAAGAAAAATTCTCAACTTCATATGGAATAACAAGAAAGTCAGAATAACTAAAACAATCCTCTACAATAAAAGATCTTCTGGAGGCATCTCCATCCCTGATCTTAAGCTGTACTATAGAGCAACAGTAATAAAAAACTGTATGGTGCTGGCATAGAAACAGAATGGTGGGTCAATGGAATCAAACAGAAGACCCCAAAATAAATCCACATACTTATGGACACCTGATTTTTGACAACGATGCCAAAACCATACAATGGAAAAAAAAAAAAAAAGACAGCATCTTCAACAAATGGTGCTGGTCTAACTGGATGTCTACCTGTAGAAAAATGCAAATAGTCCCACATTTATCATCCTGCACAAAACTAAAGTCCAAGTGGATCAAAGACCTCAACATAAAAACAGACACTCTAAACCTGTTAGAAGAAAAAGTGGGGAAGAGTCTTGAGCTCATTGGCACAGGAGACAACTTCCTGAACAGAGCACCAACAGCACAGGCTCTAAGAGCAACAATCAATAAATGGGACCTCATGAAACTGAAAAGCTTCTGCAAAGCAAAGGGCACTGTCCTCAGAACAAAACAACTGCCTACAGACTGGAAAAAGGATCTTCACCGACCCTATATCTGACAGAGGACTAATATCTACTATATATAAAGAACTTAAGTTAAACACCAACAAACCAAAGAATCCAATTAAAAATGGGATACAGACCTAAACAGAGAATTCTCAATAGAGGAATATCGAATGGCAAAGAAACACTTAAAGAAATGCTAAATGTCCTTAGTCATCGGGGAAATGCAAAGAGGAATATCGAATGGCAAAGAAACACTTAAAGAAATGCTAAATGTCCTTAGTCATCGGGGAAATGCAAATCAAAATGACCCTGAGATTTCATACCTAAATAATTCTAACAAGACTTTGTATACTTTGTATTAATGTAAATAACTAATATCTGCTATAAGAGAATCCAAATGTCTTTAGGAAAAACATCAGAAGAAGGCCTCACTGACCTGTGCCCAGCTGTGACTAAAACAGACCCTGTGCACAAGAACTGGCCAGTCATTCAGTGTAAGCAAAACCAGTTTTCTTTATTAAAATGTGAGAAATCAGCATTCTAAGTTTGTATCATTTCAAAACTGCATAATATGCTATAAATCAAAAAGGACAGATGGAAGTAGGAAAAAAAATACCTGAGCTGTCATTTCTGTGAATCATCATGAACGGTCAGTCTCTTCTATTCACGCTTCCTGTATCTGTCAAGGAACAAGAAACAGTTTAAGTTTTACAGACTCATTTTCTAATATTTTTAAAGATGTATTCACTGATTTTTTTTTTTTTTCGAAAGGGATAACCAGGAACGGGTATTATAGCTCTACATTCCAGGATATTTTTCTATGCCACTCGTGTGTGTGTGTGTGTGTGTACACAGTAGTGAGTGTGCACACGGGAGGGTACAGTGTATGTGTGTGTACAAGTGGTGGTGAGAGGCCAACCTCTGCTGTCATTTCTCAAGAGCCAACCCCGTATGTGTTTCGAAACAGTCTCTAGTGGGAGCCTGGAGCCCACTGACCAGACTGTCTCTGCCTTCCCCGTGCGCACCAGCACACCAAGCTTTTGTACAGATCTCACACTAAGGTCCTCACACTTGTGTGGCCAACACTTCACCGACGAGGTCCTCTCCCTGGTCCCTCTTCTGCACTATTCTTGCACTTGGTCACACCTCTTTTCCTCTCCTAACCCTCCCTTGTGCAGCTGCCCCAAATGATAAATACTTGGTGATCAGGAAGGTCCATGTGCCTTACCTTTCCAGGGGGAAAGAAAAACATCAATTGTGAACATGGAAGTGTACCTACCCCGGGTGTCCAACCCTTTCCAGGAGTGACGAACTCCTGGGGGAACCCAGTTTACAAGTAGCCTCTGCTGCCACCTCCTTGGGTGTTGGACTCAGCTGCAGACTACAGCCTCATCTGGGGACACACCCATCTGGGGACAGACAGCCCCCGACCACTGTCAAAGCAACCCAGGTCATAAGAGCAGGCCTGGCCCAACCCAAGATGTGCTCATGTGGCCAGTGTACTTCACAGTCTCCCACTGCCTTAGTTTTCACTGGTTCCATCCTGGCTCCCTCCCCTTCCTTTCATAGGTCCCTGATTAACACCTTCCACCACCAGTCTGCCTCAGAACCTGCTTCCTGAGAAGCTGTCTGCAGCAGTGCTGAGGTGAGCAGGCATCTCTCTAGGAAAACTCACCTCCACAGCAGAGAGGTTAATTAAGTGGGGTTGAATCATGGCACCTCGTTTCATAATCTTTGTTACAGATACAGTAAGGGAACTACTCACATCTACTGGTGTTTACAGTATCCTAAATCTTAAAGGGAGGAGAAAGATAGCAAAGGCCTATGAATTTTTGAAAACATAGCCAAAATACCATGTATAGATTGCCACTAGCTTTGGGAATAAGGTTATAAACTCTGGGGTATGATTTCTCATGGGTCTCTGGCCACAAACATTGTGTTTTAAGGCTCTAGGGACACGGACACCTCTCCCTACAGAAGCTCTCTACTCACCCAGTAAGCTTCTTCTGAAATTCACATCCTCTCTGCCCATTTCCACTGTAAGAGTCAAGCCACCTCCTGCTTGAATTGGCATAGCCACACTTTCCCATCTGAATGAGAGAGGGCCTCCTGCTTCTCTCCTCCTGTCCGCTGCCCTCGCACTCTCATGATTTCTAATTTGATGTTGTCTCCCCTGATAGACATGTACCGTGCCCCGTATTTCTGCTTATATCTTGGAATGGCTACTCTTTGTTGGCAGCTTACTTGAACTTCGAATAAACTAGGAGGCATCTCTCTGGACATGGCTATGAGAAAGCTTCTAGAGAAGTTTAAATGAGGAAGGAAGATGTGGGTAATACCTTTGCATGGGCCAGAGTCCCACACAGACTGAAAAGGGAAGGACAGAGTGTAAACAGCAGCAGTCATCTCTGTCTGCTTTCTGACTGCAGACACGAGGTGACCAGACACCCGCCTCATGCCCCCCTAACACGTCCTTCCTCCACGATGGATGATACCCCTCAAACTGTGAGCCAAAACAAACCCCTTAGTTGCTTTTGTGAGACATTTTGTCACAGCAGAAGGAAAAGTAATGAATACATATCGTCCTTGTTAATTTTTTGTCCACTTGACCCAGGCTGGAATCTTTTGGGAAGAGAAACCTTGAGAAATTGTGATTAATGATTAATGATTGGCGTGGAGGGGCCCACCACCATTGTGGGTGGTATCACCCTTGGCGGGTGGTCCTAGGTGGTTCAAAAAAGCCAGATGAACAAGCCATGGAGATTAAACCAGTGAACAGTGCTCCTCCATGGCATCAGTTCTTGCCTCCAGGTTCCTGCCCTGACTGCCCCATGATGGACTACAGTCTCGAGAGATAAGTCAGCCACTTCCTCCCCAAGTTACCGCTGTTCATGCTCTTGATCACAGCAGTAAAAACTTAACTAGGACATATGTCTCCAGTGCTTACACAAAATATACTAAGTGTTCAACAACTTCTATTTGAGGACATGAGTAGAAAGTTTCTGAATGTCTTCTAGCCACTCAGAAGAACGTTGGTGACAAATCCTAAGTACATAATAGCTCCCTTTTCCAACCATACTTTTCTTTAAATATGTTTTAATAGTATGGCTTACAGACAGAAATGACGAACAGAGATGTCTTTTAGGCCCGCTGGGTTGCTTAAATGAAAGAAATAACAAAGGGCAAGACCAGGGGAAATGGAGGAAAAGGAAAGACAGTCCTATGCCCAAAGAAAGACAAATGCCTCTTTTCATTTTATAATACAGGTACCGGACACGTAAGGACATCTCCTCAACAGACCCATTCGAGGTCGTCAGCTCAAGGCTTCCCATACCTTGCTGGTTATTTTCACTGCATTCCTCCACCTGGCTTCCCTGTGTTAAGTCTTTCTCATCTAAGAGACCTCACTAGTCTTCTGGTCCATAGATTGGCTTTTTCTCAATGGACAGCTTCGCCTCTTTAGGTTTGGAATCATTTTTCTTGGCACTGAGATTCAAAGCTTGATGCAAAATGAGTCTTCCCATTCCTTCTCAGCTGCCTTGGGTGATGAGTGCCTCATTCTGTATAATCTAGTCTCCTGGTTTGCTGAGGAAAACCACGCAAATCATACGGTGCTCCCTACCACCTACACATATTTTATGAATTAATTCAAATTTGATTAATTTTTACATTTACTCATTCGCTTACTTGCATGGGTGTGTGCATGCACATTAGAGAGCATGCTTCTCTCCTTCCACCACTTAAGTTCCAAGGATCAAACTTGGGTCATCAAGCTTGGCAGCACTTTACCTCTTTCCAATTAACTAGGCCCAAACATTAAGCATGCATGTAAGAATCTCACCCTCCGGTGACCTCTAGGAATCAGTGTTGTAGCCAGAAGCCAATTTGTCTCCCCGAACTTAACATCTACCTTGTTTGGCCCAACCATATAGAACTTGTACATACATGAATCTTTTCACATAATTGCTACTTGCTCTTCAATGCTGTTGTATACGTATTGGGTTTAGGCATTGTAAAAATGAATTCACTTGTGGTATTTCTTACGTCCAAGAACTGAATAAATATTCAGATTTAGAATTTGGAAAATGTATAACCAAGTGACTGGGCCCACCTTCTTTTAGCACTTGGGATGCCTAAAATAAAACTTTCTGAAAACAAGGCTTCACTCATTATCAATATGGTGAACAAACCCAGCCTGAGATGAAATGGTTTGGTGGCAAGCTTAAACTAAGGAGTTTGCCCTATTCACTGTGAGCACGATGCGCAAAGCTTGTCGCATATTTCATTGTAAAGAACTCCCCTATGTCCATCAGATGTTTTCAAAAACATGGAGACTATTTGCTCTAACACAGTTCTTAAAAATCTCAGAACAAAATGCACAGTTCCCCTGCACTTCAGGTAAAGGACTGTCGAGCTGCGCTAAAAGCAGCTCTTCCAGGTCTCAAGCATGTGCATTCTGCTCAGGCCATTTAATACTCTGCTTGCCAGTGAGAAATCCAAATGGGCTGCTCCAGCCTGTGGTTAAATGCTTTAGGCTGAATAACTGCGGCTTGAACAGGGTCTCCCATGCTAAGCCACGAGGGGTGCCTGGTTTTAGAAAGTAGTCTGTGCTTACGTTATGAGACAGTTTAGAAAGTGCTCGAACGCTGTCAAAATGTTAAGCCTTCAAGGTAGATTTAATTACTGAAAACATTTAAAACTAATGAATTTAGGAAATCTTTCTTAGAGTATAAGGTGACTGCTTTTATACACAATGAATGATAGTGGCAAGAGATTTGAAAAACATTTTAGTATAAAGTTCTGTTATACAGATCTGGTAAAAAAAAAAAAACTAAACTTTTCTTAAAAGAGACAAACTATCAAACACACACGGGTAAGTCTCTACAGGGCAGATGAAGAGTCAGACTTCCCTAAAGATGAGAAAACTAAATAGCAGAGTTATAACTTATAAAATGAAGTAGTTTTTTTTTTTCCCCACAGTGTTAAAAGTTATTTTTACCTGTTTTCTGGTGAAAACAAAACAACCTTTTAATACACCGAGGAAGAAAAAGTTATATTTAGACTTAAAAATTGGAAAATCTATAGCTAGCTTGTTATTGCTGAACTCAGTATTAATGGTACGGATATGTGGATTAATCAGTTACCCATGAGGATGTGTTTCCTAAGATAACAAGCATTTTACCAAACAGCCTAAGATTGTTAACAACATCCAATAGCTTTGATGTGGTATCAAATTATTACCTGTTCCATATGACAGCTCGCAAAATATTTTAAAGGTTAAAGCAAATATTATGGCTAGACTCTAGCTTGAGTGGTACTTTTTCCCTAATATCGAAAATTTCTCTTTAAATTCTAAGCAGAACGGTGCACGTTCATTCCATTATAAAACACTGTGCATTCTAGTTTGCATAAGATAAAGTTTTTGCCTTAGAAAAACTAATGAGAAATGATTAGAACTGACAATGGTCAGACTGCGCAGCTACATAACAAACACTCCGGTGACAAATTCAAGCAAAATAGGAAAGATCCAACTCTAAGAGACAAAACAAAGCAAAGCAAGGTATCTAAGAATAAACTGCTCAAGCAATTTATGGGGTTTGTTTTCTAAAACCCTGCAAAATGCACTGTAGGAAACAAGAAACTTGAGCATAAAAGACTCTGCAAGCCACATATTTAAGA